AAATATAGGTTATCATCTTTATTTTAGTATAAAAATAAAAAATATTTATTAATAAAATAACAAATTTTAATATAAAGCAATAATGTCACTTTTATTATGTTCTACTATGTTTTTTTTTCAATTTTCAGTAATATAGTGTAGGGGTGTGTATATGTTAAAATATAACTTATAATTTTATTTTAATATAAAAATAAAAATATTTATTAATAAATTTTTATTAGATTTTATTAATAAAATTTTATATGTAATTTTATAATTTTATTAATTATTATATATTAAAAAATTAAAAAATATCAAAAAAAAAATCAAAAAAAATATATAATAAAAATTAAAAATTATTTTATATAAAATATATAATTAAATATATATAATTTAATTTTTTATAATTATTTTTATATAATTACAAACTCTATATAATCACGTTTTTTTTAGTTTTAACTTATTCTATAAAGGATAATGAAAGATTAAATAAACTTCGTGACTAAATTTTAAAATAGTATAGATTTATAATAAATTTATTTACTGTATAATGATACATAATAAAAATATGTAAATTCATAAGTTAATAACCTTACGACAAATTATTACAGAATTTATTTAATATCCATAATTTATTAATAAATTTATATATGTAAAATGCATAATTAAAAGCTAATTTATTATTTATCCTTTATGATATTGTTCACCAATGATATTTTACTAAAAATGTAAAGTACTTGAAATCACAATATACAGTATAAGCTAAGAAGAGTGTGAAAAGGAAATTAAATTCTGGATCTTGTCAGTTATTGGACACGTTGGATTATTATAAATCCAGTATTCAACACATTCAAAGATCGATAATGCCGTATCGTTATAATACTCGATATGATTGCTACTACAATTGCATTTAAATTCAACTCGCGATCCAGCCAATAGTTTTCTGATTAATCCATCAATTAAACGGCAATCAGAATGGGTAGGAGTAACATAGCCTTCTGCGAAAATCGCGTTACAAGGGCCTTCTTCATGTTGCGATATACGATCTTCGAAGTCACAATTTTCATTACTAATATCAAGACCAATTTTATAAAGTTCCGGATGATTTTGAATATCTAATTAAGTCAATTGTCATTAGACTATACTTAATGTTTATGTGTTTCATTTATATACTTACCAATTCTGTGCATGACGTAAAACATGCCTCCTTCAACAGGGCGCTTAAGATCGAGACTACGTTCGGTAAAATAAGTGGCCAAATTATTCATGAATTCGTCGGTTAAAGATGAGTATATAGGAATGGATTTTAAATATTCTTTGGCGTGAATTGCAGCGACAAACTTGGGTTTGTCATGCTTGTTGCATACTGGGTAAGTCATATATGACTTTACCCGGCACCCCGAACCACACGTCTTATCAGTAATAGTATCAAAAGCTTGACAAAATCCTTTATTTGCCCTAGCTTTATTAGAAGGGTAAAAGAAAAAAACATTACTCATGAAATATTGAAATTATTAATTAATATGAGTATTAATAAAACATACGGGACAAAAACTTTATTCGATTATTATCATAGCTTCTTCCCACTTTAGCCTCGAAAAAGGCGCGAGAAATAGCATCGCTTTTAATTGAAGAATATGTACGTTTGTTCATTGTCTGCACTTATTTATTGTTCAGGTAAAGTGAATGAAAAAATCACGCGTTTAAGATACACTGCAACGAAACGCGATTTAAATTTTTATTCCGTTATCACATGATATTATCCAATCAAATTAATTTTTGTGTGACATTCCTCTGTTTATTTAGACCATACACTTATCTTTTTACGCGCGTTTCTTCGTCCAAATTTACTACAGTATAAAGGTAAGTCTTCGCTTTGTTTAGACTATACACTTACCTTTTCTTGCATTTCTTCGTCTAGATTTACCACGTATAGGGTAAGCCTTCGTCTTATTCCGCTTTTTTTGGACTATGTACTTCTCTTGCATTTCTTTGTCTAGATTTACTACGGTATAAAGGTAATTCTTCGCTTTATTCCTCTTTTTTTTTGAACTGTATACTTACCTTTTCTTCATCTAAATTTACTACGGTATAATAGACTGGTGACGGTGAAAATTGGCAAGATTCGAGAGCTCAGTTTCTGTACACGTGATTTTGCTGGTGACAGTCTCCACTGGTTACAAATAGATTTTATGTTTCTACTTCGAATAATAGGTTGACTTTATGTACTTTTAGGATCTTTCGCCAATTTAGTTGGGATTTGAAAACCGTTGGGCGAAGCTTGGAAACCGTTAGGTGGAGCTTGGAAGTCGTTGGGTGGAGCTTGGAAACCATTGGGTGGAGCTTGGAAGCCATTAGGCGGAGCTTGGAAGCCGTTGGGTGGAGCTTGGAAACCATTGGGTGGAGCTTGGAAGCCATTAGGCGGAGCTTGGAAACCGTTGGGTGGAGCTTGGAAGCCGTTGGGTGGAGCTTGGAAACCGTTGGGTGGAGCTTGGAAGCCATTAGGCGGAGCTTGGAAACCGTTGGGTGGAGCTTGGAAGCCGTTGGGTGGAGCTTGGAAACCGTTGGGTGGAGCTTGGAAGCCATTAGGCGGAGCTTGGAAACCGTTGGGTGGAGCTTGGAAGCCGTTGGGTGGAGCTTG